GGCCGACTCGGAACCCGGGGTGCCCATGACGAGGTCGAGCCGGTCCATCCGCCGAGCCTCCTGTTCAGCAGTCGAGGTCTCCTCCTGCATCACTGGGCCAGCCAAGCCACCTTCGGGGAATAGCACAGCTGCCTTGCCGCTCCCAGGTGGCCCCATAGGCTCGCAATGTGGTTGCCGTGCATCTTCATGATCCACCTTGGATTGCGCTTCCACCGGCGCTTCTCCATCTCCACCGCATGCTTGATCCTCAACGTGAGCAGGACAAGCTTCCATTTGAACGTGAGGGTCTGCGACCGCAGACTGATCATGAGGTTCATCGTTGGGTCGTCCGAGAACTGTGCCGACAGAGAAGGAAACGGCGCCTCGTCTCCCGTGAGGGCCGCCGTCCTCACCGCCCTGGGTGTCTTCTTCACCTTGTCCTTGGTCTTCGTGGGCTCTTGACTCCGTCCTCGATGTCGTTGACCCGGATCGTGCCCCTGATCTCCCTCGATTTCCTGCTCCCTGGACATGCCCTGAGCCATCATCATCTCCTGCATTCGCACCATCATGGCTTGGATCTGGGCCATGCTCATCTGTGCCTCTGAACTCGAAGCAGGGTGATCCGGCTCCGGTGTCTTGCTGTCCCGGCCCTTGGTCATTTTGCTCATGGGCTTGCGCCCCGGTGGACTGGTGGATGTTGGCTTCCGTAGCATGCGATTCAATGACTGTCGCTTCATTGTCCTCATCGGATGCCTCAGGGATGCCACCCCGGTCGTGTCTTCCTCTTGGGCGGACATCTCTTCCAACTCGTTAACTCGTTGTCCTGCCCCACGTTTTCCCATTCCTGCTGACTGAGCTCGAAGACCTCCGGATCTCCAGTCTTCCGGCGGTTGGACATGGGCAAGTTCAGCAGGTGAGGAGGGGGCGTCCGGATCCCGATCCCGAATTGCTGAGCCCCGCGGATCGGACATCACCACAATCTCTTTGCGCTCTTGCATCGCAAAATCACTCGAAATCGAGTTCGTCGTCGTTTCTCCAAAGTCGTTGATGGGTATGACATAGTGTCCACCTTTGGATTGTTCCAGGCCATACCCCTTCACACCAAACCTCCGTGATGATACTGTGTGTGAAGCCGTATCTATGACCAGACCCAATGCTGAACAGACTGGTTTGGACAGTAACGGTGGACATGTTCCATGCACGACCGATATACGAAGCACACCATGGATGCCCGCTATCGCCACTTCAAGCAGAACGGCAAACTTGCTTTGAACCACTTGACCATCCCCAAAACGAAATTGTTCTGCTTCCGGGACCACCTTGATGAACCACTGCTTCTCTTTCCATTGTGGTACAATTCGGTTGATCCAAGTAGTCCCCGCCACTGTTCTCATACATCCCAAGTCAACAATCATCTTGGAGTGTTGCTGCCCAGCCAATTCGTCCAATGCCCAAAAGATTTCATGGTTGGCCTCACCGACTGGTTCCCCCCCGCTGTGGTGCACCATATACACTCCAGCTGACACCAACGTCTCCAGTAAAGCCCAGTCTTCTTGCTGTGGCTGTGACGAAGGAAAAGTCACATTCGCGGAGTGAACCATTGGCTTCTCCTTGCGACGATATGGGCACTCTTGGCTCCAATGTCCTAGCTGGTGGCAAATGAAGCAGGGTTCCTTCTTCTGCTGTTCGGCCACCCACTTCTTCACATGTTCATTCCTCGCCGCTGCTGGACCACCTGGTGCTTCCTTCTGGAAGTATTGCCTCATCTTTTTGATCTCTCGTACTCGATTCCGGGCTTTATACTCCTGGGCATTGATCTCCGCCAGGGGTGTTGCCGTCGATGAAGCTTCAGATGTAGATCCCGCCACTAGGACGTCGTTGAACTCAGTCAGATCGCTGGCCTGTTCTCCTCTCTCTTCTTCTTCATCCATCGAGTCCTCCCCCAAGACTTCAGCCAGTTCCTCTGCCACACCTTCACCATCGTCTTCTTCCTCCAAAATGGCGACCAGAGCGTCTCGAATACGGCCACGGCGAAAACGCCCAAAGCCACCGCCACCCCGCCCCCGTGAAAAAGGGCGTCGACGTGGAGTATGTTCAGAAGCAGAGGTAGGTGGGGTCGATGAAGAGGAGGTGCCAGGCTTCTGAATCAGGTACTGGTCCTCATTGTCCAATTGAGGCTCCCCACGACCAATAGGGCAATGTGGTGCTCCTTCAAATTGTTCAGCCAACTCCAACATCGCTGAGATGACCTTTGTTTCATCTTCGACATCTCCTCCACAAGCTGCTTTCAAGAGCCCCAAGTCCTTCCTTGTCAGTTTTGCACTATCGAGCAAGTGGCCAACATAAAAGCAAGAACCAACTCGATAGGCGGGTGAAGCCTCATTCTCCCGCCGATAGATCTCCGCTCGATTGATGAAGCTCTCGATGCTCTCGTTGGCCAACCGAGTCAATTTCATGAACTTTTGGCGCCTCTTGTCGATCTTCTTGTTGTCTAGGAGCCTGATTATTGGTGATTTTTCCATCTCCTGCTTGATGAGTTGCACTCCTTGTTCGGAGGTCACCTCTTCCACAGTCAAGTGCTGAACGATCTTGCCTGCGCGTTCCCGCAGCTGCTGCATGAGGCGTGGGCCTCTCATCTCCGCCGGCAATGACTTTCCTTCCGAAGCCAACCAGAAGGTGACAGTCCTCCAGTACTGCTCCCAACTCTCACCTGGTCGAGCATAAAAAATGGGAGGGTATGTAGTGGAGATCTTCCCGGTGGTGCCTTCTTTCAAAGAACCCCCAACTGCACCACCAGAACCTCCCGCCACCGATGGTTGCCCCGAAGGTACCAGTCCTGAGGGTCGATTCCACTCACCAGCTGGTTGCGCTGCCGGTGACATGGGTGACACGCCGTCATGCTTGTCATGTTCACCCCTGCTGCTCGCCTCACTGCGCAGAAGATCACCATGGTGAACTTGAGGACCTTCTCCAAGTCCCGCAGGTAGACCCACGGACGTAGGCCGCCCAGCCGCCGCCCGATCACCTGCACATACACCAGCACCTCGTTCTTGTCCACCTTGAAGGCCGGATGAAGTCCGCCCCCAATCACCGCCAGCCCGTCCATCATCTTCCCGGGCTGTCTTCCAAGAGCTCGATGACCAATCGCTGGTCCCTGACCTTTCTGAATCAGTCTCCCAATTTCTGGCGAGGTCATCTCGCCACCCCCACTGATTTGGTCCTGTCCCGGACCAACCTGATTCTGAAGAGGACCAAGACCAGCTACTCCCCTTGTCATCTTCTTGAGATCCACCCCATTGGGATTGGCTCCATCCACCATCAGCCCAGTAGACATGTCGAGACTCCCTTGAGGTGTCCTGAATGTATTGCCAAGAGTCATTCGAACTGCTCCTCCGTGATGTTCCATCGCCACTCACCGAAGAGCTCGGAGATGACCAGTTGTCATACTTGGGCTCATAGTTCTCCTGTCCGCGCTGCCACGGGTCTCCACTCAGCCACGGATCGGACTCCTGGCTCATCGCCTCTCCACTAGAAGCTTCTTCATCACCTCTCTCGCCACTTCGTCCCCCGCTCGCTGTCCGCCATGATCTCGGGCTTCCCGACTCAGCCTGAGCATGGCGAAGTGGCGGGCTCACCATCCTCGAGGTTCGATGAAGCCCCCTCCGATGCCGGTGGAGGAATACCGGCATCGGCAACTCCTCTGTCGAAGGCGATGAAGTCGAATCCACCTCATCAGCCGCGGCCCCAAGAGCGTCAGCCTCCATGGCTCAAGCCTACCAAAACGGCCACCTAACTAGCCTAGCTAGCCTACCGCCCCTTTTCGGGGCTCCGCTACCACTGAAAAAGCACAACGGCCTACACACCTTTTCTACCGCTCTCGGGCCGCGACGGGCTGTCAGAACAACAATAATGATCAAACAAGTCGCACCAATTTATATAAACGATATGGGTGTGTTTCAAAATAGGGAGACCTCCCAAAGACCCCCTGGAAGAAGGGAAATGGACCAAAACCCCTCTTTATTAAAATATGCATCCATATTCTGTCCTGAGAGAGACTCTGCTGCAAAGCGTGGATGCCACCCTTGTCGAGTACACGTTCCTGTCCGGAAGCAATCCAACAGAACTCAAAAATAGTATGTTCCTTGCAACTGCTGACGATGCCTACAACGACTTATGGTATTCAATGATGGCCTCTTTGGTCTTCTCAGGCTTCTCTGCTACCTTCTCCAGCTCCTTCTCCACCATGGGTGGTGGTTCAAGTTTGGGTGATGGCTCCTTGGGGCTTTTCTTCTCCGAGGTACCATTCTCCTCGCTTTTCGCTCGATTCAACAATGTCACGCTGTCACGCACACTCACACACACTCACAGAAACTCCAGGAATAATGAAGAATAGGAATCGTGGTTGTCTTCCAACTAGTGTCCCCCCAGTTCAAGACAAAACCTTCATCCGTCGGTCCTCTTCTTTCGGCTTTGCTGACATGTTATCCTTCAAAGCCTTTTCTTTCTGCTTTGATTTTTCGTCATTTGCTTCTTTTCCCTCGGTCATGTTCTCCTTTCCGTTGATTGCTTTGACCTGTTTCTCCTTGCATATCGAATTCCCAGTGTGTCGTATCCTATGTGTTTTGGAGCTCTGCCAAAGAAGAAGTTTCTGCGTGGTTGAGTCTCCTTTATTTTTGCCACCGCCGTGGCCTTCTTCTTGCCATTCAAGCCACCAGCGTCCTGGCAACACTCCAGTCCAATTTCTGCCATTGTGCTTGCAAACGACAGTTTGCATGTCCAACTCTCAAATCGTGTACCATTGACATTACTCTGAATGAATAGTAAATATGAAGTCATGTCGCTCCTTCTGCTTCTCAGGCTTGACATTCTTGGACTTATCAGATGTGTTCGCTTTCGTTGTTTCCGAGCTTCTACCCTTCACAGCATGGGGCACTTTTGCTTTTTTGTCCTGCTTCTCCTCGGGTATAACTCGCTGAGTATTTCTGTCTCTAGCCCGCTGAGGCACACTAAAATAACCTGCTAGAGTAAACAAATTATTTGTCTTGCTCAGGCCCGACCTCCTGGTTTTTCTTTTGCTTCGCTGCCGGCTTTGGACTGCTCTTCTCTGCTTTAGCCTTTCCCGCAAACAAATGCACAGAAGCCACTCGACAAAAAGCAGGCCTTTTCCTCGTCTCGTCGCACTCCTTGGTAGAATGTTTAGAAAAATGGAAATGTAGCGTGCTGCAAAGCATTTACTTCCAGGGAAACTGTTTCATGCGCCCAGAGTCTTCTGCGGAAAATTGATGGAGAACTTCTGCTAGACCTAGTGTAAGTGTACGAAGATGAAGATGACCTCGCGTCCACTCAGCAATTTCAAGAAACTGGTCTTGAATGAGTCTTGAAAAAAAGAATAGTAATAATTATTGTATAAAATTGAAATGAAAACAACAAAAGAACACTCCATCTCGTTGAACAAATTCAAAATGCTGAGTATATATATATACATATATAAACAACTGATATGTATTCCACAAACAAATGATTCAAGGTGCTAAATAATCATCGTTTTATGACCCCATGGGACGGCGACGGGCTTCGTCTTCTCCTCCTTCTCTTTCGCTCTTGCGACGGTGTTCTGGAGCTTTCTGTCCAGCTTCCTGAGCGCTTCTTGCGATGGTGCAGGTGGACGTCCAAAAGCAGCTGGGCCTTTTGTGGGGCCCGTGGCCCTGCTCCTTAATCAAGTAAGCACCTACTTAATCAAGTAAGGAAGTAGTTCGCTACTAGCAATACTTAAGCTACTACCTAGCTCACGCTTCTTCAAGGAAGCTCCCCCAGCTTGAGGGCGGGTGGAGTTTCCTTGAAGAAGCGCTCGCACTAGTGATTTGGTCCTGGAGTTTGTGGACTGGACCCAACACTGCCGAGAATCCGCTGCTGCTGCCATCCAACAATTGCTTCCGGCGCGGCATGTAACACTGTCAGGAGCTTAAGCGTTATCACTGTGATGGGCTAGAACCCTATTGTGTCTACGGGTAGGGTGTGTTTCAGGCCCGAGAGCCAACCTACCGCACACAGATTCTCTGACTTCTCCATCTGGCTGGCGAACATGAATGCAAGTCAAAACTAGGCAGTATTCAACAGTGGTTAAGCTAATGCCTTTTCAACCACTGAAATACTGGCAAATCTAGCTCTAGCAAACGTTATTGCGATGTTTTGCAACCTGTCGTGACAGTGACATTGACGGCTTACTGTTGCGTTTCATGGCACAAACTGCTTAGCTGCAAGCTGCTTGGGCCTTCAAGTGCAACAAGTTGTCTCTAACAAACATTGTCCAGAAAAGAGTGTGCCGAACTTGTTCAATGCAAAGGTTGGCAAAGCAACCAGCATGTTCACCCCTGAAAGTTGCATTTTCCTCCATCTTCACCCCCGCCATTTGACTCTAAAAAATTCACTTCTTCACTGTCTTGTTCTTCTTGAAAGACTGTTTGATCTTCTTGTACCTCGGTTGTTGAAACATGATTGGCATTATGCCTTATTTGCATCTTCTTCGCACCCATGCCCTCCCCCGTTCTCTTGTTTCAGAACATTTTTCACATAATTGCGAGTTGTTTTTATAGTTTCAGACTCAGTTTGTGTCAGACTTCACTCTAAGGCGCTTCTTCAAGGCCATCTCGAGGAGCTCCGGGCGGTTCCAGGCGGCTCCAATGATCTCAACATGGATCATGGTTCCAGGTGGTCTCTGCGTCATATGAAAGTACAAGTCCGGCTGAAAGCAGGGAATCCCGCCTTCTTCAGCTGTTCAGGGCCCTGTTTTTTGCCTGACCAGGTTTCTGCTGCGCTCATCAAACAAGAAAAAACAAAGTGGAAAGGAAATCCGCTGAATGATAGCATGTTCACTCGTGTTCACCTTTTGGTTGCCTCTAGGTGCCGCCTTAATTTGATTGAAACTTTCTGGCAAACAATGAACGCTGCCTTTCTTGATGCCAGTGGTCACTAGCACCACTCCAGGGCGGTATTGCCTGTGCCGACCCATGAATTGGCCAAGTCTGCAAGCGGGTCTCGCGCCTGGATTCCCTCTTGCTTCGCGTGGTGAGGACGATGGACTCCTTCAAACAGAATTGGTCTGGGATGTCATCCTGCATCCATGCTACGTATGTTCCTTCTTGCCAACTTTCTTGGAGTCAAGACCCAGGACCTTCTTGGACGCAAGGCCGCTGAACCTGAGTCACAGCTCATCAAAATGCAGTTGCTCTTCACCCGCAGCAAGAACAAACAGTAATTGGGCAACCAACTGAAACTGGTTCAAACCGCAAAGATTTCCTGGCAGCCAAAAAACAACAAGTGATTGTTCCGTTCATTCATCCGTGCACCAAATGAATCCTGCATCAAACCCCATTCCCTCTCCTGGTTCAGCTGTCATGACCGGAAAGTTTTTCTGCTTGCGGATGAAGCATGACTGATTCCTCAAATTGCGGTGACTTCAAGAAGTCTTCAAGTCGTGATACTTGCTAAAAACGACTGTGTTGCACTAGCGCACGATGCATTCATAAAACAAAGGCAAAGACTTGACGCATTGCCACAAAAGGTCTGGTGCCGCCATGTCTAACGTTGGGCGGCGAAGCGATCGGAGGATCCCCTCGTGCCAAACGCAACGTGTCCACATGTCGATGGCTGGCTAAAGTTTGTCTCAAATAACCAGAGTGACAGCAAAATAAGTGAGAGGCCAGCGCTGTGAGCGCGTATGTTCTACAAAAATGTTGCATTGTTTCAACCCAGACTGGATGTGCCAGAAAGGGATAGAAACTCGAGAAATAGAAACATTTTGAGGACATAGTACGTCATCAGGAAATGAGGAATTGGTTTCTCACAATAACATCTTGAGCTATGAGAAGTTGATCTACCCAAAAATGGGAACGTTTTTTGTCGTCTGTTTGCTGTTGAAATTTGTTGTTGTTTGTTGTTTTTTGGCAATGGTTGGTCTTGCTGCCTCTTACGTTTGCTCAGGAAAAAAATGTTATTCAGCTGTCTTTGGTGCACGATTTTAGAAAACCTGTATGTGTATTGTGTTTCTTGCTGGTGGCCTGACAGCGCGTGCATCCATTTTCATTTGGTTTTTACCTTTACCGCTTGATAAAGGACATCTGGGAGGGCAAAAAAAACAACACCTTCCACAAGCTGAACCTTGATCTGAGACGCATTTTTCCACCAGTCACTATCCAAGGTAGTTGAAAGCTCAGGCCAATTCCATACAGTCGAACACTGCCACTCACAGTGACAGTGACAGAGCCAACAAGTACATTTTCAAAAAACATGCAAGCAACACGTTCAAACAACATCTCGGCCTGACCTCAGTTGCTGGTACATAGTTTGCGTTCGTGTGGCCAGCTCATATTAATCCAGTAAACAAAATAGAATTGTGCACACTGGGACACACAGTGTGTGTGTGTCCCCAAAAAACGGAAACAGGACCTGCACTGTTGGAAGGATTGGGGAAAAGAAGGGGATGGGCCAAACGACACCTGGTGGAATTGGAGCTCTTTCTGGGAATGGCAGGGACAATGATAAACTGGAATGACAAACAGTTTCCTTGGTCCAAGTCCAAGTCCACACAAGTGTAATATCATGCGGCCACAGCACCCACAAAGGACTGGAGACAGTGGGACTGGGAGGCAAATGGGAGACAAATATAAAATCATGCAGCCAAAACGCCCACAAGCGAGTGAAAACAGTGGGAGACAAGTGTAAAATCATACGGCCAGAGCACCCACAAGGGACTGGAGACAGTGGG